ACTGCCCGAGAAAAGACGCGTTAAAACTTAAACTACTCAGGTGCTAAGTAACCTTTTCGGGTGGTTCATGGCATTGCGTGGGAGCTAACCACGACAAAGGATCACTGGCTAGCCACAATCATTTGAGATCATAGGAGGTATCAGTTTCCGAAAGAGCATGCAAAGCAGCACTAACAAGTATTGGCCATAGTCTCGATCAGTAACTGGTAGCCTTCTGGTACGGGTGATTGCTTATGGACACACACTGCCAAAGCAGGAACATCATTAGCAACGTCTAGAAACCTGGCGAGTAAGAGCAGCAAATGGAAATCCGAAATTCTCTTCACAAGTGGAAGATTCTTAACACGATCCAGATGAGTTTTCAGAGCCTTCAACGTCACTGGGGTGTTACGATTCTCAATAGGAAAAGATGATGAAAGTGGTCCCTGCATTGTAATACAAGTTCATGTCAGAACAACAGATGTCTTCTTCACAGCAAGAGCAGTAAGTAGGTTAACCTATGCAGCAAAGTGACCGTACAACAACAGTAAACGTCGTATACAGCAAATGCTTCCCAGATAATGATTATAACTCATGCATCCCTACACTCCTGTCATTTTGATACCTTCAACCTAATCAATCCATATACTTGCGGGACAAGTGCCCCGCTAAAGGTATTTCAATTAATTTGGCTGTATATAAATTAGATATTCAACAATACTTGCTAAAGAACCCTAGTACAGCGAATCCTATAGGGTCACTACTATAACCCTTTTCGAGATTACTTTCACAAATTATTAAAGTGCTCATTTGTCCGTAATTTATTTTATCTTAGTTTTTCTTCCCCTCCCGAAATGTGTTTCCACTAATCATTACACTGAGAATAGGTCATCAGTGCTATCACCCACTTGCTGAATCGAAACATTTTTTTGTTCTAGTTCCTTGTCTACCAAAGAGGTAGTTGAAACAACTTCAAGAGAAAATTTGATCAAATGGCAAAAGTATGGCACTGAACGGTTGAGATCCAAAAGACAGCCAAGAGTTTTCGGAGAAGAGAACGTTCACTCAAGATATGTACTCTATAGCACATTTACCCCAAACAAAACACAGGTTCTGGAAAGAAAAATAACATTAAGAACTGCAAAAGTTCGGGAGGTGCGAAAGAGCTCATCTCTGGTAATGGAAATGTTGCGTACACATATACTACATCCAATAATGCTTTACCAATTCAACCAAATCCTATGATCCTAGTGACAAGCTAGAAAGTCACAAAACCCCAGGTCCTTGCAGGCAACCCAAAACCAGAGCAAACTACTGAAATCAACCTGATTCGAGCTGAGAAATGACAAATGCTTATATAAAAAAGAATGAATAAATTAAACAAGAAAAACATTACACTGCTCGAAATTGCAAACACTCAAACTGCAAGCATTAGGAATGAACACTACACCCTCAACTAACCGGTAAACTGGCATAGCTTCAGTGTCAGAGGTAAGTATGGGAATCTAATTCTTGGAAATAAAAATTGGTTCAGCAGACCTAATGCTTGTCTAGCCCCATAATATATACCAATACACCCCAGAACCTTATCAACAGCAAAAAGCACAACATTAACTAGGAAAGTGGAATTTCCAATACAACGGCAACAATATTTCCTCCACATCCAGTCTTAAACATCACAGACAATTCAAAACCAAAGTTAGCGGTTGAATACAACTAGAATAAACAAGCAATCAGGCTACACATTTGCCTTAATTATAACATGATTTTGGCCCCGATTTTCTAATTTCCTACCACATTTTCACGTTCTTTCCATGACTTTGATAATACCTATTCAAAAGATTTCATTGCCTATTTCACAAAAAATACAATATTCTACAGAGTTCAATGCCACACCAGGTTATAGACATGCTTCAACCATCGACCGGGACGTGATTCTTAGAGGGAAACCGAAAAGTAACAATAATCAGCAAGTTAAACAACAATCTAAACAAATATTGCAATTCAAATTGTTCAAGTAAACTAAGATAAAACAAAACAAAACAATTGAATCGTAGCGCACCTGGTGATCGAAGATTTTTACTACCACCAAGAAAAAATCATTGTCCACCTCCTTAGTATCCTTCACTCCAAGGACAACATCCTTCTTCATCTTGGACAATTTGGGATCATCACCCTCTCCAATCTCGGTCTCGAACCACCCTTCCTTAAACAATCTAATACAGATATCACTCATCTGAAAAGCTTCGAAATGCACATCAGCACCACCATCCTCATTCACCTCCAACTTAACCATGGCGGTCACCCACTCCTTCAAGCCGCTCTCTGCGTGGAACTCCGCCGCCTGAAGCACCTCCCTATTCGACAAAGTATAATCCTTTTTGTCCTGGCTCACTGACTGGGTGAAGATATACCCAACCCGTCTCATCCCAAACCCCATTGCTATAGCCTCCACCGCCTTTTCCTCCTCCGGGTCTCTGTAAAACACCAAATTCTCCTCCGTCCCCTGCTGCGGAGGTTCGTAGATGAAATCCACCTCCACCTTCCCCTCCTCCGACACCGTCCCGTACATAAATCCTCCCCGCTTAGCCGCGAAAGCCAGCGTATCATTCACATAATGCTGGAACGCATTAGCGCAATCCCGATCGAACGACACCAGTTCACAGTGCGGGTTCTCTTGGCGCGTGACCTTCATCTGCTTGGCGATCAAATCATCCATAGTCATCTTCCTCCCGAAAGAGCCCGCCGGGTGGAAAGCCGGCCCGGAGACGGTGCGCTCGCCGTCGTAAGCCAAGTAAACAATCGACCCATGTGCGAGATTCAGCGCCGTCAGAGACGTATTGGGATTCGCCATATCGATGAATCGAGCGATTTCTTCCTGGGTTTTGGCCAAAAGGAGATTCTGATTGGTGGAGATGGTCTGGTTCTGGAAAGGGATTCGGAGCTGGGTTTGTATCAAGGATTTGAGTTCGGAGACGGTGGTGCGCTGTGGGTTCTCCACCGTGACTCTTTCGAGCCCGTCTCTGCTGCGAACTCGGAGCATCATCTTTGCGATTCGGCGGCGGATGGGTTGTGGGGTTTTGAGGTTTTTATATGGGGGTTGGTTGAGTAGGCGGTGGCAGGACGGTGGGGATTGGAATCGGAAACGGATTCCTGGAGAGCGTGGGATTTGGGAAAGGGAGAGAAAAGGTGGGGAGTTTACGGATACTTGGGGAAGGGGAAAGAGTTGTGGAAGTGGAAGACTGTCAGAGAAGCGGAGAAGAAGCAGAAGAGTGCTCGCGTAATTGGGCTTTTGATTGCTCCTTTTGTTTTGGGCCCCCGCGTAATCGTGCTTACGCTTTTTCCCGAGTGGATTTGGACTTTGGGTTGCATCCAATAATTACTAGATAAGGTCAACTTCAATCGAAAGATATATGTTTAACTCCAATCCAGATTATAGTCCTACAAGAAAATATTTTTTAATTAATAGTGCCCAACCATATTTATATACTATCTACAGGCTATTTTTCAACCCCTCAATAATTTATTATTTTTAAGTTTGTTCTTTAATTTTATTGATTAATTGAATTAAACTATCATATTTATTTACTATCTCCAACCGAAGAAATATATAACTGATGTTTTCTGAAAGAAGCAAATTACTGGTGCTCATATCAATTCCGTAATTAAATCAAGGGGTTTTTGGATCTAGGTCCAAAAACATAGGTAATTTTTGGGACTGAGTCCAGTTATCCAATTACATATTTTGATATCAATTTTGCCCCTTCAGATAAAAATATTTAAATTATTTAATTTTTTTTTATCATTTATTTAGTTTTTAAATTTTGAATATTTAAATACCCAACTAAAATATTATCTAGTAACTGCCTACTGTTTATGAAGAAAACAAAACCGATATAATCTAGTAACTACCTACCTATTGTATAGGAAGAAAAATGCTTTATACCTACAAAGCAAATATAATCTACCTGCAAAATAAAAATAAACTACCTATTGTATAGGAAGAAAAATGTTAGGAACTTACATGGCGGAACATAGAAATATAAATATGATATAATATACCTCCATTAAAGGAACGAATTTGGAGGGAAGAACACAAAAATATCACCCATGAAAAGAAGAGACAAAAAAGAGGAGGATTGATAGAGGGAATTGTTTGGAAGAAGGAAAAAAGGTGGGATGAAACGAACTAGGGTTGAGGTGATTATATGGCTATAACTAATCCTACAATTAAGGGATTAGTTAAACAACAAATAATCCCATAATTAAGAAATTTTGTGTATTTATAACAATTCGTAAATCTAAGGGGTAAATATGGTACAAACCACAAATAAGTATATGTGGAATCTTAATTATTGGACCTATTTCAATGAAGTGGACTAATTCTACTAATGGCTCACAAAATTGGATCTATATCAAGTTATCCCTTAAATCAAATCTCTAATTAAGTTAAATCTCTAAAATACTTTATAATACTTTTGCCTCGTCTTCTTCCTCATTCTTCTTCTTTTTCTGCAAATCACAACCGACCCACTCTCACTCTCAGATACTCAGATAATCCACCTCGGTCACTTTCCATCGAGTTCCCAAAATAACCTTTTCGATTTTCGTCCCCACAAGTCACAAAATCTCAGTTTCCCAGCATCTCCATTCAAGCAATATATGATGAAGCTCTCAGCCAAAGCGGAGACTGAGAGAGCTCGCATGGTGAACTACGTGTCGTTTCCTACAACTTCCTTATCAAGTTCTTCGTGGTGAAGGACATGTTTTTAAAATTTTTCGTGCCTTTGGCGAAGATCAAGTGTAATGTCTTTTCTCATCGTCATTAGCCTAATTTTAGGCGTGTCAGCGAACTTGGTAATGAATGTCTGTCGATTCTTAATCTGGTTTATGAGTTGTTCAAAGATTAATCACAAGTTGAAAACATTAGGTAACGGAGTACATTGCTTGAGAAACAATGAGTGATTGGTAAAAAGCCCACAGGCTACGTACATTATTCATGGCTACAACCGATAATTTGATTAACTGGAATTCACAGCCCAACATTTCTTCCTGATCTGGCCGGACGTGCCTGTAAGGACCTCAACGGCTCCCATCCTTTTCATTGACTGTGCAAACTCCGTGAAGAACTTGTTACGGTCCTCCAATTCTGTGACGATATTGCTGGCACCCTTGTTTGTTAAAAGGGCTACATCAGATTGGAAGAGACCCTTGTGCTGCTTGACGACGGTGTAGTAGCTGCTGTCAAAGTTTCGAGCGCTCCCGGGATCCATTTCCACGAATGTTGTAGTGTCGTTGAGGCTTCGGCATTTGGTCTTCAGGAATGCAGCATAGGTTGCATCCAAAGAAGGGTCCTGATCACCCTTTCCGGTGAAGTTGTAGAGCCTGTTGCTGAAGGTTGGGCAGCCGCCTACTCCAATTGTGTGTCCACCTACGTAATTGTATGTAAGATTGGTCAGTTATGTATCCCCTTAATTAGGAATTTGCAGTCGTGATCTGTGCAGGACGCCGTGTTTTTAACCTCGCTTCTATTTTTCTTCAACTTTGATCTCATTTATTGACATGGTTGGCTGTTTGTGGGTGTAAAATCACCTTGTCGAGCTTAGTATTTAGGTTTCTAATTTCTAGTCTCGGATTGGTTACTTGGATGATAGGTTTAAAGCCCAAAATCTGATCAATACTAAACGCCTAAAATCGAAACTTAAAACGAACAATATATGTAAATGGAATCAAAGTTGAAGAATATTTAGTAGAAATAAAGTTTTCTCAACGTGTAAGACGTGAGCGTGACGTCCTGCACGGAGAATACCACATTAATTTGCCAGTAAATGTACCTGATAAAACCACAAGGTCATGCACGGTAAGATTCTTGCTGGCAAAACTCTGTTTGAGTTGGGTGAAATTGAACCTAGGTGCCGGAATGTTAATCAAGGCCTCCCTAACTAGAGAAATTGTGCCGTCTCTTCTCCCCGTGAGCACTTCCCACATCGATTTATTGTACTGCAAAAGTTATACATACCACACATACATGAGTGCAATCTTAATACAACAACAAAGTCTTATCCCACTAAGTGAGGTCGGCTGGAGCACAATCTTATTATTGAAAGTATTTTATGACGTAAAACAAATTAGTCCCATTTCTAATCAGTAAATTACTTGGAACGAAACGGAGTCCCTAGCAGCCAAAGCCAAGATGTCAGCACAAGAGACAACTCCTGGACACTTCCGCTCTAGATTTTCTTTGATATCGTCGATGACATCAAAACCTGACAAGGTTAAGTTTGGAACTGCTGCCTTCTCAGCCGTGTTGTTTGCTGTTGAATTCAACAAAATTGAGCCATCACAACCCTGCAGGAGATTCCATGCATTTGGTCAAGCAAGTTAGACGACTAGCGGCATAAAATTGTTACTCATTTCAAATTATAAGCTTCAGTTCAGAAACATTTTGGGTGGTGGCTGCATGTATCTAAGCAAGCACACATGCATGCATATATATGAGGTCATGAACATGTACAGTACAATTATTTTCTTACAAACGATATTACTGCTCTAAGTACGTTTTTAAGGATAGCTCATCACATACAAGCATGCATATATGAATAGCTTACCCTGACAAAACAGTCGTGGAAATGCATTCTCAATAGCTTTGCAGGCAATCTGGGATTACTAGAGACATGGTTCCAGGTGACATCTCTGACAATATTCTCGGCCGAAGGACAGGTCTTTTCGTAGAAACACTTCCTCAGCTGGCCTCCTTCGCAGGCCACGAGAATGCCGGAAACTACACAGATGAGTAAGAGAATATTAACCTTCATCTCGTAAACTTCTAAGGTTTCCAATCGATAATGCATTGTACAAAACCATACTGTTCCTTTTATGGGCGACTTTCTGTCTGACTCCAAGTGAGATGCATTTAACTAAATATTTGATGTCATTTAAAAAAACAACTACACTTATTCTAAAAAATATGTGGTTGACTCAATAATTACCATATTTTTATTCGTTCTGAATCTGCATTATTAGTTATGTGTTTAATCAAGTTAATTAACTGCATTTTGGCTTAGTAACGAAATGCTAATGCGTGTTTACTTCCCTTCGCAAATAAAAATAATGAGGATTGAGTTCTGCCAAAATACAAAACACAAAGGCTAAACTCAGTTTCTTTATTGATCACAAGAGCTTGAAGTAACTATTTGATCAGAAAGATCTTAATCTGAGACAACGGAGATGGATGGAGCTAATTAGGGGTGCAACTTGGGTTGGGCCAATCCGAAACCGCCCATGTCCAACTCGACTTTAAACCCGAACAAGCGGGTTTTTTTTTAGTTATAACCCATCCGAACCCAACCCAATTTCTACCCGTTCATTGATTGGGTTGAGTTGGGTTGATCATTTGCCCGTTCATCCCCAACCCAACCTAATCCGACTAACCAAACCCAATCTAACCAGATTGTAACCCATATCAATTAATGCTCATACTACATCCCAAGTGTGCCAAGTCCAAAAACCAACACCCTTTCTATTTTTTTTTTTAATAAATTACCCTTTTATAGTTACTTAAACTTTTAGGGAATAAGAGACTTTGATTAGTCAGCCCATATTTGTAGTCTCTAAATCCTAAAGCTTTATAGTAGATTGATTTATGAAATTAGAGTAAGCTAGCTTTGATGCAACTTAGTTTAATTTTTTTTTTTTAGGAATTCTTGGGAACTAAGTTGTTACAAGATAAAACTTGAAAAAGTTGGGCAACCCAAACCCAACCCAAATAAACCCTAACCCAATTAAACCCGAGCCCAAATGAACCCGAATAAAACCGAACCCGAACCCAAGCCCGAATTGTAAAAGTTGGGTCAGGATTGTGTTGATCTTCCAACCAGCTCAACCCGCTCGAGTTGCACCCCAAGAGCTAATCAATGAGTACAACTATATGATCGAGTATCATCCTATCGTGCTAATGTGGTAGCTATTTCTCTTAGTCGTAAGTATTATGGTCAACTTTCCTCTCTTCTTGAAGTTCATCCATCTAAGCTTGTTGAGCTTGACTTTTTAAGGTCTAATGCAAGATTAACCTAGGATAATTAATGACTACGCAGTTTTAAAGCCGTGAAAGTCGCGTGTTATACATATATATACACTAGTTTAATCTGGTCGGTCATCATCTGCAAGAAACCAGCCGGAAGAATAGTACTCGAATGTGGTATCCCTTATATTTTGTGCCGAAAACTATTGTTTTCTTTGCTTTTAATTTTTTAAATTATCTGCATAATATTTCATAAGACGAAAATCATGCATGATTTAGCGGAAACATGATTAATATAACTGAAAATTTGATATTACCCCTTGAAACTATATTTTCCTCTACTAAAACTCATCTCTTTTTGTTTTCTTGAATAAAACTCATTGACTAGCCTCCAATTAAACAAATTCTTTAATTAAGTTTGACTTTTCAAATTGTGTATTTTTCAAATGCCTAAACTACCCCTATTAATAATTGGATGGGGTTTTTGGATAAGTTACTTGTTATATCCATTTAATTAATTTTATATATTTTACAAAATAATTCATGCCATTCGTTGTATATTCAATGTATTAACTTTCAAATTGTTATAAAGTGCCAATTGAAAAATAATAATACTAATTTCATAATTTTGTGCATTACATATATAAGTTAATTTACCTACCAACACAACAATAAACCTAAAACAGCTTCGGCTAATATTCCAATCCCTAATACACAAAACAAAAGCTATATGTTCCGCACAATTCTTACCTACAAAATAGTCTAATTTACCTATTACATCAAACCAAAATTTAAAGGGTCTAGTTTACTTTCAAAATGGTCTAATTTACCTACATGATTTATGTGCATTAGATTAAAAGTTTATTTAATTGCCTACAAGCACAAACCCACAACATTTGAAAATTATCTAATATCACTAATTTTTTTTTTTGGAATACGTAAATTAATTTAAATGTAGGTAAATTAGTATAATATTAATAAGTAGGTAAATTAGTATAATATTAATAAGTAGGTAAATTAATATAATATTAATAAGTAGGTAAATTAGTATAAATTAATAAGTAGGTAAATTAGTATAATATTAATAAGTAGGTAAATTAGTATAATATTAATAAGTAGGTAAATTAGTATAATATTAATAAGTAGGTAAATTAGTATAATATTAATAAGTAGGTAAATTAGTATAATATTAATAAGTAGGTAAATTAGTATAATATTTGTATGTAGGTAATTACATGATTCAAAATGCAGGTTTATTAGTATAATATTTTATAAGTAGGTAAATTAATTTGTATGTAGGTAATTACATAATTCAAACAATATTATTTTTTCCGTACAAGATTGTCTTTCTCTTTTAAATTTGGTAAATTAATTTATATATGTTGCTAATATTTATGATACAAGAAAGGTAAAATATCCATATGGATTTAATTGCTCATCATAATTAGGATGAGTAATAACATTTATTGACCAAATTAGGATTCTATGGCATAAGTTGTAATTGTATTGTAATAGTTGGTCATATATTTGTCTACATGGTAGGCTATTTGAAATTTGGGTTTTATTTTAATGTTTAAATTTAGATGGGTTTTTATTTGGAAAATAGGAGTTTCAAGGGTCTATATCTAAAGAACCCTTAATATAAAGGATTATAAGGTTAACTCTGTTAGCAATGGAAAAAGGATAGTTGACTTATACATTGTGGACAAAAAACATGAATCGTGAGTAGTTGTAAAAGCTTGACAATTCTCCAAAACATGATTAAGAAATATTATTCCCGATTAACAAACATTTATCTCACCAATAATTTGGAACCAAACTCAGGAAGATTGCTAATAGCATGATTAGAAGAAGTATATTTTTTGTTTGAATTAGTCTACTGTTCAGAGATTTCTTTGACTTGTGCGCTCAAACTACTATTCTATTAGCTATAGACGGTGGTGGTCAATGGCATTGCCTGTCATGAACTGTGGCACAACTTGGTCAACTAGAGAATAACCTACGTGAAATAGAGCTTATACTTTTGTTTTTGTGAACTCTTCTTAAGAACGAATATTGGATCATTATAGTTTATGGATTTATGACTGTGAGACTTTCGATCAATGTTGTTTTGTTGATTGTTATTTTGACATGTGTGGTACTCTTTTTCTTTTACCCAGATTTTGTTCATGTGGTTTTCCTTGAGTAAAGCTTTGACGAGGCTACTCTTTTACAAGTTACTTGATATACAATGTACCTTTTTTGGTAATGAAATTTCCATTTACCCTAAGAAAAGTTAAAGGGCTAATGAATTTTTTGAAGGGAACTGATTTCCCATTATAATTGTCTCCTCTTACGCACCCCTCTCTATTTCTAGGCCTTAATTGAATAAATCAAGTGAATGAACGTACATACATGAACATAGGTGTGCAAAAGTGGAAAATGCCCATGAGTTTGTGAAATTATTTCCTGTTTTCAAAGTGTTTTATTTTTCAATTCAAATTTCAAAAAATTTTAAAATTTCCAAACTAAAAAGTAGAAGAACACCAAAAAGAAAACTTTTATGTAGAAAATATAATTGTCATGCGAGATTTTTCAGTGTGTCGAAAGTCTAGCACACAAAATGTAATAATGCAATTGAATGGAAGCTGGAAAAAAAATTCAACCAATTGTATTTTAACACTTAATATATTAAACTTTATTCTCAGCACATTGAAAAATTTCTGTCGTCGCAACCATTTTAACTTATACTCTCTGGGCATTACTAAATAAACTAAAATTACAACAATGGAGCTCTCAAATCAAATGTTCAAGAAACCAAGACCTTCATTGGGCCCCAAGTGTCCTACACAAATAAATTCCAAACATTTTTTTGGAAAGGTAATAATTAATATAATATAATTGGGAAAGTAGAAGACAAAACAAAAAGCCCAATCCATTTTCTTCACGCGAATGGCCTAAAAAGCCCCTCCACTTTGGACAAATCAAACCTGTCGTTACTTGCGGGCCCGCCACTTTCTCAACGGTCCGATCTACCACAAATTCGAATTGTTTTCTTTCCCAAATCCAACCCCATGATTTTTTCTGTTAAATGACATTTTGACTTCAACCTTTGGTCATAATTACTATCGAAGTATCGTTGACCTCAATTTAGCGGCTAAATGAACTAGAAGAGTGGAGTACAAGGTTTTTTTAAAATTAAAAATTGAAGGTTTTGGGTTCGGAACTTGTTGTTGGTGTGGAAATCAAACTTATGGTTAAGGAGATGCTGAAATGCCTTTATGAATCTTCCTGGCCCTCGAAAGGATAAATAACCGTAGCTTGATACCAATTGTCCCATTTTTTTAAAAATAAAAAATAAAAAATTAGCGGCTAAATGTAAGTTGGATAATTTCTAAAACATTATGAAGTATTGTTTAAATTAATGAGTAAATTTAAGGAAGAGGATCCTTTCTGGATCCACTTTGTGGGGATCATAGGGATCCCCACATTCCTAGCCGTTCATCGTATATCATGTAGCCAGTTTTCGTCATATATTATTTATGTTTAATTTTAAATAAAAAAGTCAAATGAGTTCTGATTGCATAATGCACAATGAATGGTTAAGATATGAGGGTTCTTAGAATCCCTACAATTTGAATCCGAATGAGATCCAAATTCTAAATTTAAACCACTTGAAAAACAATTTATATTATACATTGACGTATGATAAAATGTCTTTTCCATTTTATTTGAGATCCTACGATCAATTACTTTTATCCAACTATAGAATATTTTTGCCTATTCAAAACCAAATTGAAAGTCGATATAACAAATTGATATAACAGATCTAAAAGTAGAGGGTATTGCTAATTTATCCTATTATCTCCTTTTTTTTGGGTCGGATACTCAAGTATCTTCAATAGAGAAATGCAAAAACGGTATTTACATTATATTTTACACTTTTAGGAGACGTAGATGAGAGTTCTACTCCAATGAGAGAAATATAAATTTAATATCTTATTTAATTTTCTCTCTTTTGATGACGGGACCCATCACTGATAGATATAAAACAAGAGAAGTGTTATTGGCTCTCTAAAAATCTCATTCTACACTCTTCACAAGTGTATTTTTCTTTCCAAATATAGAAAGTTTGAAGTATAGAATGAGATTTTTAGAGTGCCAATAACAATTTCCTAAAACAAAAGTATACTGTATATTTAAGTTTTTATTTACATTTTTCGCCCAAGATGTATAATTTACATCTCTTTATTGGAGAGTTTTCCGACCAACCAAAAAATACAAGACACACATTTAAAGGCTGTTTTCTCCTATTCTCAATGCTTCATTGTAAATTGTGATGTAAACAAGTGATATCAAGTTGTTAACCATTGACTTCAATTAATTCAGTCAAGATTTGTGCTTCCACAAAAACCAAAAGCTAGTGGCACCAGTGTTATTACTATCAATTAGGAGGTCAAAGTCACCAAACGCTGCAGATGAAGTGAAAATTTGAAACGAGTGGCCCCTTGAACTCTGAAAACAAGTTGGAACTTCAAAAACCCTCTCACCGTCTCTTCAAAGTAATTCAAAGCTACCCTCACACTCTCACATGCGACTGAGATTTAGGTCATCTCTAATCCAAGGGTTCAGAGAATCTGAAGGTTAAAAATAGCCTGAAAATCGTCTCTAACTGAGGGTCGGGACAAAGGGCTCGTGAACCCCACAAAACAAAAAAGAACTAAAGGACCAACCGGCTGCCCAACCTAGCTAGCCAGCCAGCCCTGGGGTGGGCCGAAGTTTGAATGCAACGGCTAGTTGCTAACGTTAACTAGCCGTTATATTTGAATTTTTTTTTTTTACAATTTTTTTTAATTTTTTTTAATTCTATTTTTTTCTCCTATAACTTCCTAAGACAATCTCTAACCCCTGGGCTAAAAGCCAAATTTTTTAGCCCGGAAAATTTAGCTTTTAGCTTAGAAACAACTTTTCTACTCCAACCCTTCTGGCCTAAAATTTTAGCCCATAATTATTAAAGAATGAACTTAGGCTAATTTTTTTCTTAAATTAATTTTTTTAATTCTATTTTTTTCCCTATAACTTCCTAAGACAATCTCTAACCCCTAGGCTAAAAGCCAAATTTTTTAGCCCGGAAAATTTAACTTTTAGCTTAGAAACAACTTTTCTACTTCAACCCTTCTGGCCTAAAATTTTAGCCCATAATTATTAAAGAATAAACTTAGGCTAATTTTTTTCTTAAATTAATTTTTTTAAAATAAATATGTAGACTATCGTAAATTAATTTTATGAACATTTTAATCTAAAATATATTTAAATTTTGATAAATATTGAAAAATCACTAAATTTTCCACAAAGCAAGCTTTCAACTTTCACCAACCATTCAACACCAAATTTTTAACTTTCACCAACCGTTGCTTCCTTTTGCTTATCTCTCCCTAGGGGCCTTGCAAAAGAAGGAGATGGATTTAAATTTCTCTTTGCTTCATTTTTTAATTATTTTAGCTGTTGGATTTAAATTTGGGCCGTTAGATCTTTTATTTTACTGTTCGATTTGATTATATTCGATCTCAGCCGTTGGATTCAATAATATATAAATATAAAAACAAAAAAAGAAAAAATAAATTTGAATCTAGGCCATTGGATTAACCAATGGCCTGATGATCACGACTGTTGGATGGAAGGAGTCATTGGGGCTTATGCGAAACGTGGTCGACAAGCCCACGTGGGTGGGTCCCTGACGGTTGGAAGCCTCGTGCGTTAGGCGTCATTGTGGGTTGCGTTTGGCGCCCAAATGCTGAAAAGCAATCCCTTCCGTGGGGCCCACATCGACTTTTGGGCTAAATTTTGGACGGAATCTAGCCTCAATTCCCCATTTAGCATTTAGCCCAAAGTTTTCCCTTGGGTTGAATTGAGTTTTGGGGGGGGGGGGGGGGGGGAAATTTAGCCCGTAGCCCAGGGGTGGAGGTGGCCTAAGTCATTAAACAACATTAAGTAACATGAAACAACATGAAACAATATTAAATAACATTAAACAACATAAAAATTACACAACATAAAAAAATATATTTAACAACATGAAACTTAAGTTGTTGTAGTTTTTAAAAAAAAATCTCATTTTTTCCTATAAATTTAAATTGTTGTAGTATTTAAATTTAAGTTGTAGTTTTTAAATATAAGTTGTAATTTTTAAATTTAAGTTACTGTAGTTTTTAAATTTAAATAATAAATTATGTTTGACCTATGATCATTTGATCCTCGGTTGGAGATAATTTTTTGTCACAGGACTATATTTGGCCCTATAATCATTTAGCCTTCGATTGAAGATAGTGAAAAATATAATCCTACGTTATTTATTAAAATATTAATTTATTGAAGTACTCAAAGCTAAAACGAAGCCTTTGGGTATTCTTTGTTGGAGATGGCCTTATACTATCTTTGGCCCTCCAGGCCTTGTACTCTCTCTCTCTCTCTCTCTCACCCAACAGCAATAGTCTTGGCATTTCAGTGACCCCCAAAAATTTTTACAGAGAGAGAGGGAGATGACAGGGGCTTGTGATGCTGACGAGGGCCGACGGTTGCGGAGGCGGAGGTGGCGGAAATGGGGAAGGAGATAAAGGAGCGAACAAGAGCTCAGAGGAAGAGCAGAACCAGGTCTCTCTGGTAGCCCTTCTGTTAGTTGCTGTGAGATCCATGGTGGCCTGCCATGTCGAAAGAGGCGAAGAAGTCATCTCCGCCGTCCACAACATGGATATCGGGTGGCCCACGAAGGTCCAGCACCTTACCCATGTCACATTTGATCGATTCAATGGGTTTCTGGGCCTTCCGGTGGAGTTCGAGGTTGAGAATCCAGGCGGAGTTCCCAGTGCCAGGTGAGTAAAGTTCTTGTTTTTTGTTTTTTGGGTAGTCCTAGATTTGTGAATTCCGACATGGGTGTTGCTTAGAATGTTCGAATTATTGTTCTCCATGCTGTTCTTCAAATCTTAGAAAGTTAAAAGCAAGGTGCTTCGTGAGTGTGGATGAATGATTAGAGTAAACTGCATTTGAGTTTTGAGCTCGTTAGCTCTCATTGTCTTTTGACAAGGCGACGTTCTAAACTACTCTAATTTACGGGGAGATAGATTCCAACTCGGGTGCGAGGGGCAGCTGCATTTCCTTGGCCAATTGGCTTAACCCACGTAGGTCGCAATTCCATGAGCTCCTTATGCTTCTGATGTGGGGTTTTGAGGCCGGGGAAGATGCTTGGTTTCGAAGAAATTGTAGTGTTAGACAAGGGTTTAAACTTAATCGAACTATTTTATCACATTGAGTGTGTTCTTTCTTTGATATTTTTGGGTTATTGCAATTTTGCTTCCCGCGATTCTTACAAGGACTAGATGGGATTATAATCGTATTCAGGTATCCTATTTTTCAAGGTGTCTAAAAGTTCTAATGTTAGGCTATACGGGGAGTTAGATGTTCCGGTTGAGGTAACAAAAGGAAGAAGTCCATACTAATTCATCTCCCTGTGCTTGATGCATGGTCTAACTTGTAAATCGTCTAATTTTACAGTGCAAGTGCGTTTGGCGTCTCAGCGGAGTCAATGCAGCTGTCTTTTGATTCAAAAGGGAATAGTGTCCCTACTATTCTCTTGCTAATGCAGGAGAGATTATACTCACAAGAAGGATTGAAGGTAAGAAAATTTTTGTGCATTTGTGAATTTCCGCATTTTGGTTCTTTTATCCTTATCAGTCTTCTTACTAGTCCCTTTGGAAGTTTCAGGCAGAAGGAATATTTCGTATAAACCCCGAGAACAGCCACGAGGAGCTTGTGAGAAGCCAATTAAACAGGGGCATTGTGCCTGATGACATTAATGTCCATTGTTTGGCAGGCCTAATCAAAGCCTGGTTTAGAGAACTTCCTTCGGGAATACTAGATGGACTGTCTCCGGAAGAAGTTCTTCAGTGCAACACAGAAGAGGAATCCGTTAAGCTTGTGAAGCAATTAAAGCCAACTGAGGCCGCACTGCTCAACTGGGCAGTCAATCTTATGGTTGATGTTGTTGAAGAAGAATTGAACAAAATGAATGCACGAAATATTGCTATGGTTTTCTCTCCAAACATGACTCAGGTAATTTAGAACATCAGAAAAGATGTTCTTTTTTCTAGTAGTGCTCAACGATTAAGATTGACCGGTTAACCCCTCTTTCAAACCGACGAAGACTCTGATGATAGTCAACAGGAAATGGATACTGTATCTGAATTAGAAGGCCCAACATCAGACTATGAAGAAAGCGCACACTCCATCCGCAGCAGTGAAGATGAAGATGAAGTCCGAGTGTTTGTTAAGACACTTAGGGGAGAACAAAACTGCCGGAAACAGCTTGGTGCCGGCAGATCAACCAACAGGCGAGTTGCACGGGGAATATCTGAGCCCTCAAACTTGCTTGAGCTTCAACATGGACTCTGGCACATCATTTTGTGATAGCAAAAATGGGAACTCTGCCTTCAGTACTATGAGTGACGGGGAAGTGCCATCTGGGAATGTATGGGAGCTGAGGAAACTAATGTTCATATGGAGATCCCTTCGTCAGCATCAAGTTCAAACACGAATAAAATAGAGATAGTGGACAGATAAGCGGGGGCTGATTCACTAGTGCTTCATTTTAGCATACTTTCCCTAGAGATTTAATTTGCTTTCCACAGTCAAGTTTCTTCTGTATATATAATGGTTTGTGAGATGATTTAGTTGAACCAAGCTTGGGAAAGCTTGCTTGTGGTTTGAATTGTGACTTGTTTAGCAAGTTAGGGTTCAGCTTTGAGCTGAACTTATGCTGGATTTGTAGTAGAACTAGGACCGTAACGGTTAGGAACTCTAACCTTTGCATTTCTTTAGAAAGATTTGTGGCCAGAAGTCGAGTCTCTCTGTCATGTTGTGGATAGTTTGTGGAAGTCTGTTGTTGAATGCCTGAAATTCCGCTTGTTATCATAATATGCTAAGTGAAACCTTTTCGTGCGTTTGAAATTTAACACATTTTATGCAAAATTCTATCATACAACAATGTATGGCGTACATCACTTGTTTATCCTTTATATTCGACTGGTTCACCTAATTATCGCTATATCTGCAATGTATATCCCGCATTGCGGTATGCGTCATAAACGGATGTCCAGAAAGAAAATTAAACAAATATATGGATTTAGCTTTTTCTTTTGAACATGTGATTTGTTGAACAACTACTGTATCTACCACTAGACCTCTAAACATATATTGTACTTTGAAGAAAGTGGAAAGCAATCTCATCAGAAAACCACTGCTTTTTCAGTTGCATATGTCCATCAGAATCCAGTGCGCATTTTCGACAGTGTGTCAACTAAAGACAACTCTGATTGGAGTTTTGAACGTTATGTGTGCGAAACTTCCATTAACTTTCTCATTTTTTAAAATATGCACGCGTGTTAGCATCTATTTCGGACAATCCCCAAGTTTTATAAATTATAAAGAAAATATGAACAAACAAAATATGTTACCCAAATAGAAATAGAGATGAATGGACACTAAAATTAAAATAAGGGCGATTATACGTTCAATATACTAAATTCCTTCTTTTACGAATTTTAAGAAAAATATTCTCGTGTTAACATTCACGTAATATAAGTGGTTAGAAGAACATGTCAATCAAACAAAATAAAAATAAAACTGAAAAAACAATAATGGTCATAAAAACAGAATAAGAACATTGCCACTCTGATAGAATTGGAGAGAAAGAGAGAAAGAGAGAGATATGAGAGCAATTATGTATTCATATATCTGAATCTGTTATGTACAATTGCTAAAACAACTGACTCCAAGCTAACAAGGCTCCGCGCTTTGTAAGGATCGGAGGAGGAATGTGCAGCGTATACAGCCTTACCCTTGCTTTGCAAGAGGTTGTTTCCTCGACTCAAACTATAACACTTGAAATACAGGAAATAGTTTTTAAACACAAATTCTTCTGTAATTTAAACCTGCTTTTTATATCCAAGCTTAGTTTTCCCCTTCCACTCCACTTCTTGAAGAACAAAAGACAAAACAAAGATGAAAATTTTGATGACTCAGAAATCAAACAAAGTCTCAAGAGGCCAAGCAAGTTTCCCAAAATAGCCTGCTCTTCTCCACCTCATTCAACAACTCAAACTCTTTCGTCGAATCAACAGACGCAGTTGATTTCAGCTGGTGTCCCCCCATCAACGGCATCCCAACAGTTTCCCCACTCCATCTTTGATGATGATTGTCAACTGATGAACATTCTTCTTCCTCTTCTTCTTCTCCTTCCTCGTCCTCCCTGTCGTCGTAACGATGGTCGTCATCACGATCATCAAGATCATTGAGCACCTCATCAGCACTAGGGTTTTGATCAAACGAATCGCAGCTGCACGATTGAGCATCGTCTTCATCAGCCATAGACAACATGGGATGATCATCATCACAAATAATTCGATGATCATCTGATGATATTGCATCAGCCTCAGAATCACCAGTTGCTTCAAACAACATGAAAGAAGACACATCCATAATGCTCTTCTTCTTCTTCTTCTTCTTCTGCTGCGTCGCCGCGTCAAAAATGTCGTCCTTCACGTTCGCCTCCACATGAAACCATGAATTCTGAATCATTTTCGAAACATGAAGAGTAAATTTACTCTGGTTAAGGCTTTGCAAAAATAGGGTAAAGGCCTAATATATATTAGTGAGGAGACGTAGGCTGTCTTGTTTTGATACTCTCAAAAGTCCATATCTTCCCAGGTCGATTTGGGTCGCCTTGGAATTATGTTACTAAAGTTTTATCGATCAATATCATGGAAAAATTATAAATATAATATAAAAAAAAAGAATAACAATAAAAAAATAAATGGAAAAGGGAATACTTTTTCAAAAAGACCTGCATATATACTAGAATATAAACCATGTGAATCGGCTGGATGGCTTCTAGAAGAAAAGGAAATACAAATAAGCTTTTGTTTGCTAAAAATGGCTAAAAGAATTTACCTAATCTTCTAGAAACGAGGGAACAGTTTAACCCTAGTTGGTTCTACGTGTTTGAAACGTGGACTCTGCCTAATTTCATCTACTTGATTTACTGTGCTCTATGCATACATACATGGTCCAGAAATTCTCTAGTATGTTTTGTGTGTCGAATACGTGTTGAAACCAGAGATATATTTCGAATCTCATTATTCGGAGTTCAATAACTAGTTAATTTGGACCATTCAAACTGATTCCAACGATCCTCTACTAACTCATTATGCTAGTCCACCTCATACACATTAAAGGCTCTGATTCTTTCGCACAAATCAAAGATCTCAAAATTTTCAATCTTTAGACTCTGAATACTAAGGTTCGGAAAGGATCCGAATTGGTGTTGTTTCTCTTTATTTGCTTTTACTGGTAGTGCGGGTTATTGGTGAAGTTTCCTTTTGCTTTTTACGATAGATTCATTTCTTACTATTGTTAGTCGACACAATCCCTAAAGACTATTGAGGAAATTGCTGGTCAAGACTCAAAGTTTCTTTCTTTATGACGTGTTAGTACTGGACCATTCTGGCTAACAGTTTTTAGTTGGCAAACTTAAGGAAGACTTCATAAATACGTCACGAATATTGTATCATCTAGCGGAAGATAAACAATTTTTGCATTTGTTTGTAAACGATGGAGACACGTCAAGCTTAAATTGAATAAGAGAAAATGATTCGTTTACATAGAGTTGATTATTTCAAATCCATTTACAAATTGTGTTACATCTAGTTATTTAAAATGGAAATCGACAAAAAAAAAAAAATTTTATTTAAAATGGGAACGATCTATGGCACTATTTGTTTTACACCATTTTTTAAACGCGTTTTTGTGGAATTCACTTCGTAATGTATTTCAGCGATTTGAACCGTCTATCTTTTAGGTCATCCCTCAAAGATCATGTCTACTAAAAATCACCTAGTCTAAAACCATATAATTGTTGAATTAAGGGTTTATAGTTTTTTTTCTTTCTTCAAACTGTATTCGTCTATTTTCTTTGGATTTGTCTAATTTTTGCAAAAATAATCTATAAATGATGTTCTAAAAGATAGACGTCTCAGATCATTAAAAAAACATTACCATGTTGAAATTTTTTTAGATCGATGAGCCCAAGAGGCCCCACTTTAACAATATCGATACTATCCCCAACTTTACCATCTGCCCAATCCATCAAGTGTGGGGTTTTACCACAAAAGGCCTTGGTATTAGTTAGAGTAAGTGTTGACCCTAAAAACTATCAAGCTTATGTGGTACGCAGGCCGAGTAATTAATAAGTTAATTAGGTCCTTCGGTTGTGCGAGGCCTACCAACTCGTTGGCCGAGCTCGGTCGGGGAGTAAAATATGCTGATGTCGTGTTGAGTGCATTGCTAACTTCTTGATCTTGCGACTAAGGCCGAGGAAAGAACACATCTCGGCCTTCGGGTTCTAGAGCCTGAAGACAAGGCTGCTAGTTCTACGAAGTTCAATATCAAATTCGACTTTCAATGTGTCTAATGTAATAACCTGGTAACACCTCACTTCGCCAAAAAGGCTGATGAGATGACCTCTACTAACAAGGACTCGAAAATCTTTGTCGACCAAGACTTGGATAAATAACCAGTCAGTTTCGAAGCAGTGTTGTTTATCCAAACTGAAGGTGCTCCTTGATCGGTTGATTCTACGGCTCCAGTGTTGTGTATCCAAACTGAAGATGTCGTCGGTTGCATTCATAGTGCTGTTTATTCAAACTAAAGATGTGTTAGCTAAAATCATACTCGAATTAGAACTTCTCAACCTAATTTGATTAGGTTTCGACCAATCCTAACTCCAAACAGGCTTTGAACCCAGCCAATCATGAAACTAGATTCATCTCCTAAGTCTCAACATCCTTAGCCTCTTAAGACTCCTCTTTACACTAGGTCTCAACTACTCCATCCTTATCTTAAACCAAGCTGTCCTGCAATAGGATTCGACCGATCCTGACTGGACAGCCCATGATAATTCTAGAAGAAGATTACTGGGCCGAGAACAACTCCTAACTTGGCCCAAAATATTATTTTGGGCCCAAACAGTAAGGTAATCATATTTAAAGCCACACTTTTTGACTTCCCCCACCGATGTGGGATTGCCAACAGTTCTGTGTATCAAATACGTGTTGAAACTAGAGATATATTTCGAATCTCACTATTCGGAGTTTAACGACCAGTCAATTCGGACCATTCAAACTGACTCTAACAGTGCTCTACTAACTCATTATGCTAATCTATCTCACACAAATCAAGATCACTATTCTTTTGCACAAATCAAAGAACCCAAATTTTCAATCCTGAGATTCAGACTACTGAGTCCGGAGAGAATCCAAATTCGCGTTGTTTCTCTTCATTTGCTTTTACTGGAAGTGCGGGTTATTCGTGAAGTTTCCTTTTGCTTTTTACTATAGATTCATTTCTTACTATTGTTAGTCGACACAATTCCTAAAGACTATTGAGGAAATTGCTGGTCAAGACTCAAAGTTTCTTTCTTTATGACGTGTTAGTACTGGACCATTCTGGCTAACAGTACTTAAGGAAGACTTCATAAATAAGTCAAGAATATTGTATCATCTAGCGGAAGATAAACAATTTTTGCATTTGTTTGTTTACAATGGAGACACGTCAAGCTTAAATTGAATAAGAGAAAATTATTCGTTTACATAGAGTTGATTATTTCAAATCCATTTACAAATTGTGTTACATATAGTTATTTAAAATGGGAACGATTTATGGCACTATTTGTTTTACATCATTTTTTAAACACGTTTTTATGGAATTCATTTCGTAATGGTATTTTAGCAATTTAAACTGTCTATCTTTTAGGTCCTCTATCAAATATCATGTCTACTTAAAATCACTAAATCTAAAACCATATAATTGTTGAATTAAGGGTTTATAGTTTTTTTCTTTTTTCTTTCTTAGAACTGTAT